TAGGCATCAGAATTGCAGCCACTGTTTATTCTTGCGTGATCACAAGAGGCACATAAATGGGTTCAAATTACTAGAGTCTATGTATCTCTTTGCTTAGGCAGGCAAGGTGGTTTGTAACACCCTTGTTTAGCCAAAATCATCTTCCCTGTTTTGGTGCCATATGACCTAAATTGTGCTGGCGTTCCGTATAACCAAACAAACAAACAAACAAACTATTTTTCCTTGGGTGGTAGGTATGAGGAAACATTGGAACCACACTATAACCGGTCTTGCTGCAAAGTAAAAATTGCAGCAGATCTAAATTGAACTGGTTTTTTTATTTGTTAAATATCATAGTTAATTTGATCACTTAACCAGTAATACTATTTTTAAACTTAAATAAATCTTTGTCAATAAACCAATATGTAAACATAAACTTATGAACGTGATAATAGTACGACAACAAGAAAGTGTTATCATGAAACTGCCATGTCCATATATATCATCACTGAATTATGATGTAATTATCACTGTACTATTGCATTATCATCTCTGAACTATTGCAATATAATCTCTGAACTATTAAGTTTTTTATCATCACTGTCCTATTGTGTAATCATCACTGAACTATCATTTTATTATCATCATAGTAACTATTGCATTATCATCACTGAACTATTGCAATATAATCACTGAAAATCAAGTTATCATCACTGTCCTATTGTATTATCATCACTGAACTATCATTTTATTATCATCATAGTTACTCATCATAGTTACTATTGCATTATCATTACTGAACTATTGCAATATAATCACTGAACTATCAAGTTATCATCACTGTCCTATTGTGTTATCATCACTGAACTATCATTTTATTATCATCATAGTTACTATTGCATAATCATCACTGAACTATTGCATTATAATCACTGAACTATCAAGTAATCATCACTGAACTATCAAGTAGTCATCACTGAACTATTGAGTTATCATCACTGAACTATCATTTTATTATCATCATACTATTGTGTTATCATCACCAAACAATCAAGTTATCATCAGCATATTTATTGCATTATTATCACCATACCATACAATTGTGTTATCATCACCGTTCTATTGTGTTACCATCACCATTCTATTGTTTATTGTCACAGTTTTTTTTTGCTTTTTTTTTCATCATCATCATCAATTTTATCCTGTTATCATCACTATTACATCATCAGCAGTAAACTTTACGAGTTATCATTGTCATACTGCAATGCTTTCCCACCAAAAAAATTCCAAACATCGGCCAAAAACGTATGATTAAATTGATCGTTTCTGGAACATTATTTTTCACAATCTTCAGTACCAATAATTTTTAACCATTTACAACCGGAATTTAGTATATAGCAATAAAGGATGAATGATTTAAATAATCTAATGCCCAATATTTAAAAAAAAATAAAAAATAATAATAATGTTCCGGAAATAACCAATTTGCTATGATATTAGCCGATGTTAGAATTGTTTCGGCGGGAAAGCATTACAGTAAGACTACCTTAACTATTGTGTAATCACTATACCAAATATACTGCCATAGTCTAATTTTGTAAAAGAACTTGTCAATAAAAGCACATTTTTATATATAATTTAGCTGGTTCAGAAACTATTTGAATTTTGATCATGCCTAAAGTGCTGTGTTAAACCTTCATATTAACTTGACAAATGTTAACTTTAATTTCTCTATGAAATTCTGAACAGTTGATGGCTCCCATTTGTAAGAAGCTAAAAAAAACATGACTGATGACATTTCAATTTTTTTGTTATTCTTTCTCAAAGATTGATATGTTGCTAGCATGTGACATGTTTCAAGTGTGAAATGTAACTTTTAACAGGAAACCTGATGAATAATGATGTTTCCATCACAACATAGAGGAGACTGTCAGATCAATGAGCCTCCAAATATAAAATCATCTATCAATGACATTTCCTCTTTCTCTTATTCCATACTCTAAAAAATTTCTCTCCAATATTTCTATTAAGAAACAAAAAGCACATCAAGACAGGAGGAAAAGATAAATTTGAAGTATTCTTTTTTCTTAGTTCTTCTATGCTTGACAAAACTGGTGCGAGATTTTTAATAATGATATACTTCTTAACCTTTATTATAGTAAACCTTTTTAGTTATAAATCTGGAATTGTTACTATTAATGTTAAGCCTGATGGTGAGAACATCAACACATGCTGTCTGATCTCAATCCAGTGATAACATGTTTTTAAATTTTCCCTAAAAATCATGATTGGATATGTGGATAATGCCGAGCTTGAAAGATGGACAAGTACATAAGTGTGGTAAGTAACAGAGCATTGAAACATGAGGCTTTCTGATTTGTACCAGGGGGAGGGGGCGTAGACCAGATACTGCTGGATTAAGTTATTGTATTCAGAGAGTAATTATAATAACACATGCACATGTAAAACATGTGTATCCGACCATATAAAAAAAAAAAAAAAAAAATGTTGAAAGCGCTTTTATTCTTACCAAATATAACATATTCCTATATTAAGGAGTGAAGTTCAGTGAATGAAAGATTCTCTATATACAAACGAAATATAAAATAATACACAAAACAAACGCAAGGTTATCCATGTATATACATCATTTAATACTATTGATTTGATGAACAGACTTAACCATTTAAATCTTACAAAAACATCAAAAAAACTTGAAAGCTTACAATCAATGATAATAAGTACAAAAGAATGGTTTACCTAAAAATGTGTCCATAGGACACAGGTGTCACCACACTCCACTGTTGACCCTAGGTCAAATATCTTTTGTGATACACCTGCTACAAGTTGAAAACTAAAAATCTTTTAATAAGTGCAAGAACTTTACAAATACTGAATAAATCCACAAACAAACCCAATGTGTATAAGTACACATGCTGACCCAACATTCTTGTAAACTTTTAGGCCTACAGGTCAAATTCTTTTTGAGCTATGCATGAACAAGTTGAAAATTGCAAATATTTACTAAGTCAAGGGCAATGACTCTAACAAATCTGAAAAAATCCAGGTGCACAGCTTCACAGTGACTTTGATCATTATTCCTGTAAAGTTGATTGATTCTAACTCTCAAGTTCTCAAGGAAAACATAACCCAACATAATAGAAACGGTTTTTACCAAGTCAAGTGAGATAACTCTAGAAAAATTGGATAAATCCACAATTGAAACCCCAGGTGCACAACTTCACATGCTGACCAATATTCCTGTTAAGTTTCATGACTCTAGGTTAAATACTTTTTGAGCTAGCACAGCACAGTTGAAAACTTTTACTAAGTCAAGGGCAATAATTCTGACAAAACAGAATAAATCCACAAGTAAAACCCAAGGCGCACATGTTCACATGCTGATCAACATTACTGTAAAATTTCATGACCCTAGGTCAAATACTTTTTGATTCCTGTACAGTTTTATGACTCTAGGTCAAATACTTTTTGAGCTATGTGCCACACAAGTTGAAATTTGCAAATTTTTACAAAGTCAAAGACAATAACTCTGACAAAACAGAATAAATCCACAAACAAAACCCCAGGTGCACAACTGCACATGCTGAGCTAAAGTTAAATGTCTCTAGGTCAAACACTTTTTGAGCTAGCTACATGCAACACAAGTTGAAAATTGCAAATTTTTACTAAGTCAAGGGCAGTAACTGTACAAATACTGAATAAATCCATAAGCAAATACCCAGATGCACAACTAGACATGCTGTGCAATGTTCCTGTAAAGTTTCATGACTTTAGGTCAAATACATTATCAGCTATGTGCGACACAAGTTGAAAATTGCAAATTTTTGCTAAATCAAGGGCCGCAGATGGACGAACAAGGGTAAATCTGAATGCCCCCCCTCCTCCCACAGTGGAGGCACAAAAACATCTTAGAATGCATTCTTTAAAACTAATCAATAAACAAAATGCTCAGCAGAACTGCCCCTCTAACCTGCTGAACTTCTTACATGAACTTGCCCAGCTCCCAATTTTTGGAACGGTCCATTATCAATTTTGAGAAAATTAATCAGCCAACAGTAGAAAGATAGAACATTTATTGCAAAACTCTGTAAGTTCACAAAGGGGTAAAACTCAGTCAAAAAGCAATGCTAGAGTTATGGCTGATGAACAGTGACCTACAATTATGAGCCTAAATACACATGTGAAGTTTCAAGTTTAAAAAAAATCATTGGTAATTGAGAATGCAAAACATAAACAAAATGTTTGTAAGTAATCTTCAAATAGTCGCACTTAAAATAATCAAATGATACAGATACTCACACCTATCAGCAAAATGCATGTGTATTTTATATAATAGTATACCATGATATGATTCAAGTACTTAATTATAACAAGAATTTGTAACAGAGTTACCAACGTCCCCCGCCTCGGGGAAGTTTTATATGAAGCATAAAATTGTGCTATTTCAAAAGATTTAGTTATGGATTTCAGGACTTCCAGTCCAAAATTATGATCAATGCTAGATCTGCAAATGCAACAATAAATTTATTAAAGAAATACTAGTAAAATGAAACACGGAATTTAAAATTCTATCATGTTAACCTTTGACCTCTAAGTGTGACCTTGACCTTGGAGGTAGGGGTGCAGGTGTTGTGCATGACATATCGTCTTATTAATATTACTATTTGTGCCAAGTATTTTCAAAATCCCTTGAACTATGTAGAAGTTATAGATCGGACACAAAATATACCCTATAACACACTATGTCAATCTTTGACCTCTAAGTGTGACCTTGGAGGTAGGGACCCATGTTTTGCGCCTGACATATTATCTTATTATTGTGATTATTTGTGCAAAGTATTTTTAAAATCCCAGGTTATGGACTGGACACAAAATATACCCTATATCAGACTATGTAAATCTCTATGTGTGACCTTCACCTTGGAGGTAGGGACACATGTGTAACGCATGACATATCATCATTGTGACTATTTGTACCAAGTATTTTTAAAATCCCTTGATCTATGAAGAAGTAATAGACAGGACACAAAATAAACCATATAACAGACTCTGTTAACCTTTGACCTCTAAGTGTGACCTTGACCTTGGAGGTAGGGGTGCAGGTGTTGTACCTGACATATTGTCTTATTATTGTGACTATTTGTGCCTAGTTATTTCAAAATCCTGAAGAAGTACAAAATATACCCTAAAACAGACTATGTTAACATTTGACATTTGACCTCTAAGTGTGACCTTGAACCTGGAGGTAGGGATGCAGGTGTTGTGCATGACACATTGTCTTATCATAGTGACTATTTGTGGCAAGTATTTACAAAATCCTTTCATCAATAAAAAAGATATGGACCGGACACAAAATATACCCTGTAATAGACTATGTTAATCTTTGACCTCCAAGTGTAACCTTGACCTTGGAGGTAGGTGACCGGTTGTTGCGCATGACACATCGTCTCATTATTGTGAACAATTGTGGCAAGTATTTACAAAATCCCTTCAGAGATAAGAAAGTTATGGACCGGACACAACATATACCATCAAATAGACAATGTTGACCTTGAATGAGCAAGTGCGACCTTGACCCTGGAGGTAGGGGTGTGGTTGTTGCGCATGACACATCGTCTTATTATAACAAACATTTGTGCCAAGTTATTTCAGATTCCTTTGATAAATGAAAAAGTTATGGACCTGACACAAAATATACCCTGTAATAGACTATGTTAATCTTTGACCTCCAAGTGTGACCTTCACCTTTGAGGTAGGTGACCGGTTGTTGTGCATGACACATCGTCTCATTATTGTTACTATTTGTGGCAAGTATTTACAAAATCCTTCGATCTATAAAAATGTTATGGACTGGACACTAAATATACCCTGTAATAGACTATGTTAATCTTTGACCTCCAAGTGTGACCTTGACCTTGCAGGTAGGTAACCGGTTGTTGCTATGACACATCATGTCATTATTGTTACTATTTGTGGCAAGTGTTTACAAAATCCTTCGATCTATAAAAATGTTATGGACCGGACACGAAATATACCCTGTAATAGACTATGTTAATCTTTGACCTCCAAGTGTGACCTTGACCTTGGAGGTAGGTGACCGGTTGTTGCGCATGACACATCGTCTCATTATTGTGAACAATTGTGGCAACTATTTACAAAATCCCTTCAAAGATAAGAAAGTTATGGACCGGACACGACATATACCATCAAATAGACAATGTTGACCTTGAATGAGCAAGTGAGACCTTGACCCTGAAGGAAGGGGTGTGGTTGTTGCGCATGACACATCGTCTTATTATAAAAAACATTTGTGCCAAGTTATTTCAGATTCCTTTGATAAATGAAAAAGTTATGGACCGGACACAAAATATACCCTGTAATAGACTATGTTAATCTTTGACCTTGGAGGTAGGTGACCGGTTGTTGCGCATGACACATCGTCTGATTATTGTGAACAATTATGGCAAGTATTTACAAAATCCCTTCATAGATAAGAAAGTTATGGACCGGACACGACATATATCATCAAATAGACAATGTTGACCTTGAATGAGCAAGTGTGACCTTGACCTTGGAGTTAGGGGTCTGATTGTTGCGCATGACACATCGTCTTATTATAACAAACATTTGTGCCAAGTTATTTCAGATTCCTTTGATAAATGACAAAGTTATGGACCGGACACGAAAGTGTGACGGACGGACGGACAGACGGACAGAGCCTATTACTATATCCCCCTTTTTTCTTCGAAACAGCGGGGGACAAAAATTGTAATATACATTCTTTCATTCAATTAATATAGTCAATTTCAAGATACAGTCAAATGTGTATTATATGACTGTGCAAGGGAAACGCTTAATCCAACGGTCTTTTAAGACGAAGCATGAGATTTAAGTCAAAATTTATTTATGATATCTTTCCCTTGCAAAGGGTGTGTTTTTCAACTACATTTATATAAATTATTATAATTGACTTCCATATTTTGGAACTTATTGGAAGCCCTCAGATTTGCTTAGCTTTAAATTTAGAACAACAGTATGTTTAAAGTTTTATGGATTTCAAAATCACAATACAAAAATGAAGCTACGCACAGTATAGAAGATGATGATGCATAAATAATAAATAACAATATACATGTACAAACTGAAAAAAACCCATAAAATTATATCAAAATGTTAATGGTTTTTGAGTTTCAACAAAAGTTCTGACAAAAACAAAAATACATACAATGTATATCAACAATAATGAAGATCAAATGACTACAAAATTTACATTCTTAGACGCTTCACACTTTTCCCTATTAAACAGATTGATTCATTATTACACGATATATGCATAGCATAAAAAAGGAATGCTTACACGTTATATGACATCAAATATGACTTCAATAAACCAAATGATGTTAGAAAAATTTACAAATTAGGAATATTTATCGATATATCGCCAATATTTGTCATCCGATATCAATGTATCATCAATATGCTTTGTACTTAATCAATGACAGCTCTAACACCAGTACTACCCTTATGTCTGCATGTAACTATCAAATCATACGCTTAACCAAATTGTCAAAGATATACCTTGCAATCTTATTCCTAGGTTTTTTTTTAGATATTTTCTTTTAATTGAAATAAAGAGACCTAACATTTTCATGAGATAATGATGGCAAATATTTTGACACACATGCATTTTCTTATACTTCTTAAAAGCAAAAATAATTAATACAATGATTAAGTGTTCACATAATGTACAAAATTAACAAATTGAATACATTTAATACACTGTTACCATTCTTTAACACTTAATTCCTCAATTTGCATAATCAACTTGCCTTGCTTTTTGTACAGGAGCAGTCCATTCAAAGTTTAGCGCATTTCAAAATCAAAGTTCCTAAGTTGAGCAGTCAACAGTACAGACCCTGGGTTTTGTTGGTTATTGTCTGTTTTTTATGCTGATTTTAACACATTTTTCATGTTTGACTTCAATTGTCACAGAGAATATTCCTCAAGGATAGAACCAGCTTCCCCTTGATTACCAATCTGATGCTCTCCCTATTCAGCTAAGTAGGCAGACCCTGGTCAGATGGCATGGATGTGCTCCACATGAAAGTTGGTATGATCACATATGTATGTTATTATAGCTAAGTGCAAATACATGTAAATTGAGAATATTGAATAAATGTAGGTTCAAAACCGAATTTATTGAACAAGTTGAATAATATTATATTAAGTGAGCCTATAGCCAGCAAAATATTATTTAATTCAACAAGTTCATTAAATTCAGTAATACACCTACACAAATATAATATATGTTATTTAAAAAGCAAAAGAATAATTTTTCATTGACGCGCCTATTGTGTAACGCTATCATTTAGCGCGTCTTTACACTATGTTTGTGTAACACAAATGATGTCACATCAAAATATATGCACTGCCATGCACTTTTACGGACTTGCAAAATCGGCACTGGTATCTGATAAAGAATTTTATTTCTTCTCATTGATGTGACTGGAAGTTCAGGTCAATTACTAGGTTGCCTGATTCTGTATCTTCTCTATTCCTTGACAATCCAAACTTGTTAGAATAATCATGGTACTGCATAATTTCTTCTTGGTTTGCTTTCATAAATTCCTGCTCATGGTATTGTCCAGGTAAACCAGATACTGGGTTTTGAACTTGTTGGGAACCCTGCTGAACATGTCTTATTCCAAGGTCAAGAGCTGAATTCACACCAAGCTGGGCACTTGCACTTACACCAATATGCGCGTTTACAAGTCCTTGATATCTTTGGTAAGGCTCTGAAATGTTCGTTACATATGTTGAACTAGGAGATGGTGTTTGCCTTTGCAGAACTAAACCTGTTGAATAAGGTTGAGTCATTTGGTCAAAATCATTCTTGACAATATCTGGTTGTTGAAAAGACATTCTCCTATCCTTCATTGATAAATCATATGCATGATGAACTTCCTGGTTTTCCATAACATGGTCAGAAGTTTCAAATTTCCTTTTTCCTTTTTCTTTCTTGACGCCAGGCCGATTCCTTCCTGTCCAGTCATCATGATCGCTCACTGAGACTTCATTCAATTTTCCACTTGGTTTTTTCTTTATTTTTCTTTCCTTGCAGGGAAGAACTTTCGTTCCCTCGGCAGGTTTGTCGATATCTTCCTGCTTCTGGAAGAGTCCGGTAAACACGGAAAGGGGCATCTGTCTAGCACCATCATCAGACTCTTTCGGGTGATTGGACATCAAATGACCTCTAAACTCTTTACTTACGTTGGTCCCAAAATCACAAAACTTGCATGGATAAACTTTTAAACCCTCATGCTTTTTTGTTTCTAAAATGTGTTTTCTTATGTTTTCGTGTGTATTACAGGCAAAACTACAGTATGGACATTTAAAGGGTTTCGAACCAATATGAATCCTCATATGGCGTTTTAAATGCGTTCTGTTACCAGCCTTGTACGTGCAATATTCACAGTGAAACTTCCGTTCATTCTTATGAATTTTTTCATGCCTTCGTAGATGATACTTTTCAAATGCAGCAAATCCACATGTGTCACACAAATATTTCCTTTCATTGTTATGGGTGCGTCTATGTGCATTCAACTCGTGCCTAAACGCAAATTTCCAATGACAACCAGGGTGGTCACATTTCATATCCTTCGTTCGATGTCTACGTAAATGAACGGCTAACTGCTTCTCAACATAAAATGCCTGACCACAAACATCACATATGTGAGACTTTTCTTTATTAGCTTTCTGTAAAGCATGAAGCTCCATATGCTCTTCATAGTTAGACGGCTTGTTGAAATGCTTACCACAAATGTCACAATTTCTCTCCAAGCAACCAAAATGCTTCAGCAAATGTTTACGAAGTGTGTAATTTGATTTGAAGGTATTTGGACAAATTTTGCAGAGAAATGGCCTTTCATCAGTATGATTTCTCAAGTGAACCATCAAGTTATTCTTCTTGATAACTGTATCGCATTCTGGACACTGCAATTGTTCTTTATAGCCAACATTTTCTACTGTTTTAAGAAAACCCGCAAACTTCTCTCTTGTAATACTTTTATAACCGTTCTGCTTATATACTTCTTGTTCTGTTGTACTGTGAAAGTGCTGATAAGCTGTATGGAACTTACAGTATTTCTCATCAGTGAATTTCTTTTTACACACATCACACTGAAAATATTGATCAGTACTTGTTTTAGTATCCCCAGACAATTCAATATTAGCTTGATGTTCTTTACTCAACACATGTAACTTTAATGCTTTTTCTGACAAGAAAACTGTATCACAAAGCTCACAAATTCTGATTTTAGCTGAATGTTCCTTCATGTAATGTGGTCTTAAATCATCATAATCTGTCACAGTAAAAGAGCAATGATTACACTTAATACTCTTTTTATCTTTTGGAGAATATCCATATGGATCTGCCTTTTTCCTTGACCTCCGTTCTCTTTTCTTTCTTTCTGTTGTCCTTGACCCCCATTCTTTACCAGTACTGCTATCAAGGTCAGTGACAAGGTGAAGGTTATCTCCCTCAAAGTACTCTTGACGTACATCCAATTCATCAATCTGTACTTGTGAAGATTTTGAATTATCACCTTCATCTCCTGATGTTTCTTTCCTAACATTGTCTAAATCTTTAGGTTCTTCTCTATCACTTTCATCTTTTCTTGTTTTTATTTCATTTTCTGTTCTTTCACTTTCTTTTTTTTCAGCTTCATTTGATTCAAATTTCAGCTTGTTACGGTTGTGCAGTGCAGATTTCAGATGCAATTTGTAGCTATGTTTGTCAGCAAAGGCTCTGCAACAAATGTCGCACTTGTATGGCTTTTCTGCCAGATGCCGACGTCGCATATGAATCAACAGCGAACTTATTGAGGATGATTGGTAATTACATTCAGCACATTTTGGTCTGTTCCTCACACCTATCTCCCTCTTTAGAACTCCTGTAACAACTTTGCCATCAGCATGTTTCAGTTTAATATGCCTCTGTAAACGCTCATAAGAGTGCATCTTTAGTCCACAGAACTTGCAAATGCAACCTGCATGACATTCTTTAATGATACAAATTTTGTTGCGTTTTCCGATTTTTTCGATATGTTCAGTGGAATCAAAATGTTCAGCAATTTCTTCTCTTGAGTGAGTCTTAAAATGACAAAGCGTGCACTGTATCTCCCCTACAAGATCTTCACAATTTTCCTTATGATCTTCACTTTTCAAATGCTTTACAAAATCTTCATTACTATTGAAATAAAAGCGACATATACTGCACTGGAATGGACTTAGACGAACAATACACTTGTGATATTTTTTAACTAACTCATTGTGACCTTCTTTATCGGCTAATGAACGGTTGCTATGAAACTTCGTCAAAAGATGTCGTGCTAACATGTACTTATTATGAAACTTTTTATCACACACAGTACAAATATGAAGCTGAACTGCCACCTCTACATATTTCATTTCCTCTTTTGAATCTGTGTCATTTATATTTGTTGATTTGTCTTTTTCTATATCATCAATATTCATCTTATCATTATGTTCATCAAAGTACTCATCTGTTAGATGACTATCTTCATCATCTTTTACATCTTCTTCCCTGTCTTCTCCAATAACTTCATCATGACTCAAATTTTGCTGACTTTCCAATTCTGGCTCAGCATCAACAACAGTTTTACTATCATTTTCAGGATTTTGTTCAAGATTATCTCTGTTACCAAAAACATTTTCTTTATGGAGTTTTGAGCCACAATGATTGGAATATTGAAAACGATTCACAAATGTAATGTTACAAAAATTACAGATAAAAATCTTGTTTCCTGCACTTTTGTTTGCAGCTTTCTTGTCTTTCTTAATATGCCTAGGTTTATGTCCTGGTATGAGGGCGATGTTCTTCCCCCTGCTTAGTGGGCCTCGCCTACCTCGTATAGCCGTTTGAGGGGGTCTTTCACCTGGCGGCCACTTCCCACGATACCCATGTCTGAAAAATAATAAGACACTACATTGCAAAACATTTAACAACCAACAAAATATAACAAATTGTATTAACAAAATGATTAAATATTTACCCTATCAGCTAATGTATAAAAATTGATGTTTTTGCATTAACTTAAAATAATAAATGTAGGTCACTTAGAGAACATGACAGAATGGTTGTAACTCAGTGACCACCCAGAAAAAGGCTACCAAGTATATCATGTAAAATATGGACTATATATATATAATAATAAATCTATTTATTGACCATAGGCTGTTTTCGTTTTACTGCAGTGGTTATTTACAAGCATCTTCTGCTCTAGGAAAATTCTTTAAAATCCTCGAGTTTTTCCCTGAAATTCAATTTACATCAAGTTTTTACACCTTTTTGAAAAAAATACTGTGCTTTTCCCCTGGAAATTCAAGGGAACTGGTTCTTTTCCTACCAGGTAGAAGCAAAATCATTTTACAATGGTAAAATATAGCATGAAGTAAGAAATTGTTTCAAAAATCAATAAAGTTAAATGATGGCAAATATCCAAAACTTTTCCATTATCTCTGCAAATCAATTTCTGCAAAGTTGTTCCATACATTTGGTGACAAAATAGTTTAACAAAATTAACCTTGACATTTGTTAAATACCTCTGCTTTGCGTCATCATAAAAATATTAAAACTATTTCCATTTGATTAATTCATTTAGGTCATATCAAAATAAAATTTTCTCTAGATTTCTATTTGATGTTATAAAAAAAGAGTCTTGGTTTAATGCATGTCACAGCATCCACATATAAAAAACTACAAAGTATGAAGGCCCTTTTATTTTAAATGAAGATGTTATAGCCATGGATAAGAATTAAACAAACCATAATGAGATGCCAAGGGAAATAAATATAACTATCAATACAGATTGACAAAAAAATAGTCTGGTAAACCTAACTGACCTGGAAATTATATTTTTCTGACCATACCTGTATTTCCTATATGCCAAAGGTTTTTCTCCAGGTTTCCACTTGCCACCAGTATGATTACCAGGTGGCGCTCTAACATCCTCACCATCAGATAAACTATCCAGAGACATGTCATCCCCAAAATCAAAACCCAAATCCTCATCATCACTGAATGTAAGGTTATTCAGTATATTAGATATAGGTAATTGTGTGAAGTTGGAACTCTTGTCCGCTCTTGGATCAGATTTGCTCATAAGTTCCAGTGATTGAAAGAAATCATCTACTTGGTCACAGTCTCCTTTAGTAATTTGATCTTCATTTGGTAATTCATTGACCTTGACCTTATGATGACCTTCAGGCTTGAAATGTCCTTGGACAGGGATATTGTTTCTGTTTCCAGAGACACTTGCGCTTAGCAGACCGAAATCTTCAGTGAGTGATGGTAAATATGAACCTCTTGTATTCCCGGCTGTTGAGAATATTGGACTGAGACTACAAGATAAGGTATTAGTATCTATGGTTACAACAGACGTATCAGGTAAGTTCAACTGTGTTGAAATGAAAATACTCTCTTGATTGGTTGTTTGTGTTGTACAAGTCAAAATGTTCTTATAATCATCAGGGGTTGTCTCAAGTTGATTATCAGCTGTAACAATTGTTCCAGAGCTTAAAAAAGAGCTTTGATCATGAAAGGCAGAACTTGGACTGGTTGTAGTAAAAGCACCATAACTGTCTGTTTGATAAGACTGGTTCAAGTGTTGTTCATCTTGTTTACTCAAATCTGGAAAGGACTGGTTCTCAAATTTATCAGGTCCATCAATGCTGACTGTATTTTGTAAACTGGTATCCGGCTTAACTTTGCTCTTCCTTCCAGGACACTCATTCTTTTTATGGTTTATATAATTAACAAGCCCGGACACAGTTTTGTTGCATATGAGGCAGTAGTGAATATCTTCATCATCATCATCCATTTTGTGTTATGTCACTGTCTGAAATATAGAAAACAGCACTTTAACTTTTTAATATGTAGAAAATGCTGTCATTTTAAGGTCATGAAAGTTTGTATACAACTGTTTTGAATTTATACCAGAACCTGAACATGTTTTCTTTTGAAGCTAAAAAAAGAAAAGAAAAGATTTTGATTTCTTAAATTAATGATTATGACATCTTAAATAAACCAATGAAATACAGTAAACTCTGCTTATATGGATGTTCAGGAGACCACCCAAATTTATATTGTTATATCAAGATATTGCTATATCTGAGAGACAACCAAGGCAACAGCATCGTTATAAGCAGTATATTTTTATAAGTGATACCTTTTTAATAAGTGGAGTTTATTGTATGATGAACAAGGCAGTCTGAAGGACAGCTAAATCCCATTCCACAGTGAACATGAATGTATACTTCTTGACATTTTACCAACCATGACCTTGATGTTGTGCCATGCATATCATAGTTTCACGATGGTGATTATTTGTGCAAAGTTATTTAAAATCTTCCACAAAGTCAAAATGTTATGGAGAACATATTACCTTGACCTAAAGGGTGGCAACTTGGATGTTGTGGTCTGCAGATTGTGTCATGGTGGGGATCATTTGTGCCAAGTAATTTTAAAACCTTCGAATTGTCAATAAGTTATAGAGCCGACATGAAAAAGAGATGTTTTCACATTGGAACTTTGAGTGTGACCCTGTCCTTGAGGGTTGTGCTTATGTGATTATTGTGCTCTGCCAAAAGTGTCATAATAGTGATCATTTCTGCCAAGTTAATTTAAAAACATTGCAGCAGTTTAAATGTTATGGCATGGACTTTGTGTGACTTTGACCTTGGTAGTAGGAACCAAATTATTGTGCTCTGCACATCCTCTCATAATGGTGGTCACTTGTGACGAGATATTTTGAAAACTTTTCAGCGGTTTAAAAGTTACAATGTATAGAGCTGACACAAAACATAGACTTTTTTACATTTGACCTTTAAGTGTGACCTTGACCTTGGGGACAGCAACCTAATTATTGCGCTCTGCACATCACCTCATAATGGTGATCAATTGTGCCAAGTTATTCAAAAATTTTTTTTAAAAATTATTGAGCGAACAAGAATTGTAGAGTTTTTAACATTTGACCTTAAAGTGTGTCCTTGGGGGTTGCAACCAAATTATTGTGCTCTGCACATCGTCTCATAATGGTGATCACTTGTGCCAAGATATTTTGAAAACTTTTTAGTGGTTTAAAAGTTATGGAGTGGACACGACATGTAGACTTTTTAACACCTGACCTTTAATTGTGACCTTGACCTTAGAGGTAGCAACCAACTTATTGGGCTCTGCACATTGTCTCATTATGGTGATCACTTGTGCCAAGTTATTTCAAAATTACTTTTTTTAAGTTATTAAGCGGATACAAAAGTGATAGGACGGACAGACGGATCGACAGACGGAGGCCATTCCTTTAATCCCCTCCCCACTATGCTGAAGAGGATTAAAAAACTGCAGCAGCACATAAGTGAACATGTTAGTCAAATAGGATAATTCAATAACATATTTATTATATGTAGAAACAAAAGTAATGCACATATGTTTGCTAAGATCAGAAAAATAGGTGACAAATGCTTCTTGTTAATATAACAACATTATTATAAAGAGTATTAATTGAATAATTATTTCTTTGTAAGTTATACAAATAGCATTAATTACAATACTAAAAGTAAATTTCTATTTGAGAAAGATATATGGTTTATGTAACATGTACAATATACCAGCAAACACGGCACCTCTTTACTTAGATTTATCTTATCTTTGTTGGACCTTAAGTCCTTTAAGTGTCATGATGCCACTGTTATTCTTGCATATCAGACAGGATTATCTACTGTTTACACCGGTGCTAGAAAAACCTGTCTTACACCCCTCATGTAAGACAAGTTGCGTGTTCTGAATGACGTCATTCCCACGCGCATTTTATGAATGAAGTACATTCTTAGGATGACGTCAATGTGCCGTTAAGAATGAAGCAATATGCAAGAAAAAGAATAAAACACCGTCTTCCGTAACAGACCGGAATATCTAGCTCTAGGGTAACTGTTTAACGGAAACTCTGCAGAGCCTCGTTACTGCAGTAAACAGTTATCCTCGAGCTAGATATTCCGGACTGTACCGGCATCCGGTGTAAGATTGTTAAAAGATCAAATGGCATCAGTTTACTGATGACATACCACAAAAATTTATAAAATTTCACATTTGATGAGAATTGTTTTTATTACAATATACCAATAGAACAATAAACAGAAAACAGATGAAATGATTATCATTGAGGCTCATAGGGAAGACTGGGCTTGCCTAACTATGTTGCCTCTTTAAATAAAGCCTTTATTATTATAATTATTATCATATACATGTATATCTATCAATCTTAGAATAATGTAAAAACCCTGTCATTGGAACTTAAACATGTTTCCCATCTAAAAAAAAAATAACATGAAAGTTAAAAAAATATTGATAAAAAATGATAAAGGAAGTAAAGTTAAGATGTGAGGGCTTGTCAACTATCCCAAGACATGTTCAGTGGTAGATAGTAGTCTTAAGTTGCCATCAATTTAAATTTTAAACAACTGAAATTGCACATATTTGATAAATATTTTAATAGATAACAAGGGGGGGCCATAGATCCCAAGTAGCTCACAAAGCTATCTGTTACCTATAACAAGGTTATTATATTAAAGTTAACAGGACCTACTGTCCCGTGATTCAAATTCACAATGACTGTTCATGAATATCTAATGCAATTGCAAAGATTAGCTAGAATTTGCTATATAAGTTCATGTGCCTCAGGGCAGGGCTGATTTTGACCACAAGGGCTTAACAGTTTAGGTAAAAGACCGATAGATGATACTACATCATACCACTTATGATGGCTTTAAGCCTCATGGTTTTTTAAACTGCAAGAAAAAATTCCCTATCTAAATCTATGTAATTAATTTTGGTATTGGTAATGGACGCTTAGGAATTAGGAAATTAGGAAATTTGATAATGCAAAATTTCCTGAAATAGGATAGGGGCTTCCCCCAAATCATGTTTAAAAATAAAAAGGCGTACAAGATTTTGAAATTCCTGCTTTCTGTTCAGTGAGCTACTTTTGCAATCCATCCAAACCACTTGAACAACTGTGTTACGGGCCCACTAAAAGATCCTTTTACATGAAGTTTGATCAAAATTTAGAATTTGGTTTCAAATAAGATGTTGTTTCAAGATATTTTTGACAAGGGCTCAAAGTAGCTTATCTTTAGCATGGTGCGGTCATGTGAGCTAATATTGTCCAACAATATTGACCTGGCACTTCATTAACTTTCGTAAAGGTCATTTGAATAAACACTGACCAGTATCTATTGAATATATCTATATCGATATATTTCTTAACTTCACTCTTCAGTGAGATGTGGTGTATTGGTATAGATGTCAGACTACCGATCTGAAGGTCTCTGGTTCGATTCCTTACCAACACCATGTTATGATTTTTTTTTAAAAATTACTTGCAAGATTTAATTTCAAATCGTTTATCTACACCTGGTTTTACAATACCTTTTAAGTGGTTTTTTTTATACACAAATGTATTTTTTATTTCATTACAGTATCTTTCAACAGTTCACTTTGTGACATTAGCGTATACACACTATAAAGGCAGTAATTAAAAATGCTACACATATAGTACACACATCAAAAAGGTTTGCAATATTTTCAAGAGAATGGCAATTTCAAAATTAAATTAAAAATGAAATCGCTGATAAAGGATTCGAACCTACCGGTTTACGTCTACATTCTTCAAGGGCAACCCCTTTAGCAACTGTGCTAAGAGGGATGTTTAATTTACACTATTTTAACAATTGGATATTTACATTCGTAGATAGTAATGTTTACGAAATATACTGACTACAGGGTCAAATGCAAGAGTACCAGGTCAATGTTGTTGGACAATAACAAACCTTATTTTTAATGTTTCTTCACCTACAGTAACATATAATATAAATTCCAAACAAATGTGATAACTGTTGAAATAGTTTTATAGATTTCTAATAAAAAATTAAAGATCAGCTGCATTCCTTTAAGCTCCACTGAGATCAAAAGACTCAAAACATAAAGTTTGAAATTCTCCCACAGATCAAGTAATATACTGAAAATGGAAAAATCTGCAAAAGATAATAAGGAAATATACTAAACTGAATTCAATGTTTTTACATGATTTTTAGCCTGGTTTGAGTGAAAACAGGGTCTTTCAATGGTGAAAAGCATTGCAACACTTTCCATTTTTTTGTCATTTTGCAAAATAAAAATAATCATTCAAAGAAAACAGAGAAGTTATTAGTCCAGACTTTTATATAAAAAACCCAATTTTACAATTTCAATGTTGAAATAGATCTATACAGTATCTTATAAGCAATGTTAAAGCAGAATGAAAAATACAAGATCTTTATATTTTAGGTCATTATTTCTTATTTACTATCATGTCATTTGTTTATCATTTATCATGTAGATTCTATATACAGAAGCCAACCAAACATGGAGGGATATTTATTTAGAAGTTTATCCAACTATGTACCTTTAAAGTCTTTAGGTAATCCATTCGCATCAAGGGGGGTAATCCAACTTAAACCTTGCTTCCAAAGTTAGTGCCACTTACAGACCACCATACCACGTCATAATTTTCGTGTATTGCATCGTAATTAGAGTAATTTAACAGATGTGAATTAAGACAGTATAATGTTCGTATATTTATTTAACGCAAGGCATGAATAACATTACCTGTTTAAGCGCAGAAATCCTGAAATTGGAAGATAAAAATCTTTGTTCCTGCTAGTACTTCGTGATTTCCGACACAGGTGCTTGGTGCGAATGCGCATGCGTTAAGTCAGTAACCTCATTGTTATTACTTCCTGTGTCATGTCAAGTAAGAAGCAGAGCAGATGAAAAACAGAAATGTCACGATCAGTTCTCAATTTGATAAACGATAATTAAGAAAGAAAACAAGTTTCTATGTGGAAGAATGACAAGAAGGAAACAGTTCCAACCGAAGCGGTTAACATGTAAGTGCTGTCTTTTGTTATTTTATACTGAAAAAAGAGTTTTAAAACATGTGTATTGGATTTTGTCATGGTCAATTAGGCGCTTGTTTGTTTACAATTTAAATGTAACGGCAAGTTACTGTTTTATTGGGATTTGATTGAGAGGAAATCAAATCTGTAGCATCAATGCACTGGATAAAGTGTTCTATTATTTCTTTTTTTCTTACATTACTGTGTTGCTATAAACAGTTTAACATCTGCTGCATGGTTGAAAACTGGCATCAATCAAGAATTTCATAGCCATACTGTCAATCATTTGTCACCCGGGCTTTGTTCAGTCTAGTACGATCAATCTAGGTGTACATCAATCAAACACGGGTATTATTGTTTGGGCATTTGTTTAAGAAAGCAAACAAAAACCCAGGCAGGCTTTCAGCTGACATTAGCAGAAGATTTATGAATTTATGTCCCCACTGTTCATGGTTATTGAATTCAGGGTGGACTCTAAATGTTTTAGGCTATTGTCCTAAATTTCATCTGAGAAGGTGCTGTGCAACTGTTCACAAGTTCTAATTATATGCCTGAAACAGTTGATTCATGTAATGTTGCACAGAAGCTGCTATTTTTCTTGCATTTGAAGGAATATATTAGTCATACGAATAGTGAAACGAGAGATGCTAATAGATTACTGATTGATGGCTTCTTTTGTAACTCGCAGCACAACGGGAATAATGTCATTTATTACTTGTGTGCCAAGGTATGAAATCCATAAATAACGATTTTAATGGTGAAAACACATCAGACAAACCAAGTGGGGTAGGGTAATGATCGTGTATGTTTAATCAAATAAATTCTTTTATAAAGATTTAGATTGACATATGTTTCATGTTGACACTGAAGGATGGGAAAGGCCGATTTCATGAAAAGAGAAGTTGATGAGATGTAAATTTCACTGAAATTAGAGGTCTTAATATAAGATGCTTATTAAAGTTTAAGCAAGGCCAAACTGATATTAATGTTGAAATTTGATAGATTTGTTAATATTGTTTGAAATATTTTTTATGAGTGCAGATGATATGTATATCATGAAGTTTTTTTTTTTACTAGATTTTTTTTATGTAAAAAAATTAAATACAGTAAAACCCTTTTTAAAAAAAGCTTATGAATGGTATATATTAAGTGAAACTGCTTGTTTTGTCATAAAATAAACAGGTCAACAGTTCAACCTGCATCATTGCATTTATAAATTGAACTTCTTTGCAGTATATATAAATGTACTTGTGGGGGTTTTTGCACCCAAAAATTTATTATAATATGTAATCTTATCATTCATTCCATTGCATTATTAGCTGTCAGGTATCATGTAAAACAATTATTTTGATATTGTTAGTCCTTAATTGAGTTCCCAGTACGACATATTTCAAACATATGTACAGTATAATAGATAAATAGCATTTTTATGCACTCTCCTTTTCATACAAAGCTTATTATCTTATCAGTTGTTCAGTCAGAATTATTTTCAAACTGACTTTGATGTGAGAGCTTAATTTGTTATATCTCTCCCTTATCAAAAGGGTAAGCTGCAAATTTGTAATCCGAGAATGATAATTATTTGCCATTATATAGTGAATAACTCTTGTAACATTTTTTTTGAAAATTATAGCTTATACAGTTTTATCAGAGTAATTGAGATATTTGGTTTAACTTATTGATAATTGTTGTTATGTTTATATAAAAATACAGTGAGACCAACTTATAAAGACCAGTTTTTGAAAAATAAAGATTTCTTTTCTGGGGCATCATCCTTGTTTTGTTTTGTTTTTAATTGGAAGTACAGTTACATGAGCAAGCAATAAATGTACTTTTTACCTTAAAAGACATGTTTGATACAGGATCTATTTGTATATAATGGTCTTAAACTTAGGTTTTACTGTAATTTTAATATGATATCCTCATAAAGTATGAGTCAACTTGCTGAGCGTGAAATATGAATTTTCATCTTATATAGCTTATAAATCAGGTAGTGGTATTTCTAGACATTTTCTGCCTCTGCATGTGAATATTAATGACATATTTTCTTTCATAAAAAAAACATGTAAATTCCTGTAGAGATTGAATTTTACCAGCTGTTTAATATATATTGTAAAATTGTTTAATTTTCTTGTCATGAAATGTCATGACTTGTAGTTCATTTTTCTGTGACATACAATGAATATTTGTTGAACAGATTATGACATTTTAGTTTTAACACTTCTGATTCACACAAACTAATTTACTCTTAAATATCTAAATACTTAATATATGCTTAATTTTTGAGCAAGTAGGCATAAAAAAGAAACAGGATGTTAGATAAGAACTCTATTGAATTTTAGTTAACATGTAATGTAACTATCCTGAGTTTTACATCTTAACTGATATTTTATTTGGGCAGCAGATTGTCAACGCCTCATTTTAAAGGGGCTAAGAATTATATATTGATTTAAAACTGAGAAAGATGACAGTCATCAATTTGATACATATGTGGTAGAAAATCAAGATGATTTTCTTGTTATAATCTAGCCATTCAAATATATTAAACAACTAAGTGTGTCAAATTTGTGTTCATGTTTCTATGGTTTGTGTTGGTGACACTATGCTGGCCATGGAACTTACATGGATTCCCCTCTACTTTTTTTTCTTTCAAGAAAGAAATAATTTATAACAGCAGTAAATAATATGAGAGGAACACACAAAGACATAATTTGTTTAATTTTATATGGAAAGTATCAATAAAGCAAAATTTTTACTTATTTTCCAATAAGTAGGTAATTTAGTTTCCATGAAAAATTTGTGGTTGATTCAGGAATCATTTGTGTGTTTAATATTTATATAAAGTATACAATGATTCTGTGATTGTATAATTTTATAATCACTAGTCACAAAAATTGTCCATACATGTATAATATGATATGATCAGTAATAAGTCATACAAATTATACATATAATTTACAATGTTTACATGATTATATTTATGATGGCTGAATCAATCACAAAGTGATGATTCAGTGACCAAAGACAAACAGTGAACCATGGAACAGTAAACTATTTACCAAGAGTGGGTGGTCCAGTGACCATATCCCATAGATAAACTGTCAACACTTGTCCGAGACATAATGGTCCAGTGACCATAGACAAACAGAAAATCATTGCTGAAGTCAAGGTTGTTCAGTGACCATAGACAAACAGTGAACCATTGATAAAGTCAAGGTTGTCTAGTGACCATAAACAAACAGTGAACCATTGATAAAGTCAAGGTTGTTCAGTGACCACAGACAAACAGTGAACCATTGATAAAGTCAAGGTTGTCAAGTGACCACAGACAAACAGTGAACCATTGATAAAGTCAAGGTTGTTTAGTGACCACAGACAAACAGTGAACCATTGATAAAGTCAAGGTTGTTCAGTGACCACAGACAAACAGTGAACCATTGATAAAGTCAAGGTTGTCAAGTGACCACAGACAAACAGTGAACCATTGATAAAGTCAAGGTTGTTTAGTGACCACAGACAAACAGTGAAAAGTCAAGGTTGTCAAGTGACCAGAGACAAACAGTGAACCATTGATAAAGTCAAGGTTGTCAAGTGACCACAGATAAACAGTGAACCATTGATAAAGTCAAGGTTGTCAAGTGACCACAGATAAACAGTGAACCATTGATAAAGTCAATGTTATTCAGTGACCAGAGACAAACAGTGAACCATTGATAAAGTCAAGGTTGTTCAGTGACCACAGATAAACAGTGAACCATTGATAAAGTCAAGGTTGTCAAGTGACCACAGATAAACAGTGAACCATTGATAAAGTCAATGTTATTCAGTGACCACAGACAAACAGTGAACCATTGATAAAGTCAAGGTTGTCAAGTGACCACAGACAAACAGTGAACCATTGATAAAGTCAAGGTTGTTCAGTGTGACCAAAGATAAACAGTGAACCATTGATAAAGTCAATGTTATTTAGTGACAACAGACAAACAGTGAACCATTGATAAAGTCAAGGTTGTCAAGTGACCACAGACAAACAGTGAACCATTGATAAAGTCAAGGTTGTTCAGTGACCACAGACAAACAGTGAACCATTGATAAAGTCAAGGTTGTTCAGTGACCACAGACAAACAGTGAACCATTGATAAAGTCAAGGTTGTTCAGTGACCACAGACAAACAGTGAACCATTGATAAAGTCAAGGTTGTTCAGTAACCACAGACAAACAGTGAAAAGTCAAGGTTGTCAAGTGACTACAGACAAACAGTGAACCATTGATAAAGTCAAGGTTGTTTAGTGACCACAGACAAACAGTGAAAAGTCAAGGTTGTTTAGTGACAACAGACAAACAGTGAACCATTGATAAAGTCAAGGTTGCTTAGTGAACAAAGAAAAACAGTGAACCATTTAAGAGTCAAGATTATTTAGTAAACAAAGACAAACAGTGATTCATTGTCCAAGACATGGATGTTTAATAACCGTAGACAAACAGTGACCCATTGTATAAGACAAAATGGTTAAGTGATTTATTATAGAAGACATTTTAATTCTGAGCCCATAGACAAGCAGTGACTCATGATTTAAGTTATTAATTGATCATGTGGACAAAAATTATTCATTATTTATTTTCTAAGGCAAAAAAATAATAAAATTGAATAATACTGACTTAAAATAATTCATTGACCAAGATTAATAACATGATATTTTAGCCAAGATTCAAAATGATTAAATAGCTTAAACATTAATAACAGCATAACTTTGCTGAGATTTAATTTATCCTATAGCCAAGAATGGAAATGATATATTTACCAAGATTTAAAATA